ATACATGGAGACGGACAGGACAGKACACCGTGCACCCACACAAAGCAAACATACAAACAAAAGCCTTGTCGGTTTTTTTTTTTTAATCTATTAGATTGAATAGTTAACCCTTGTAAAATGGCATCACAATAAAGCAGAATGTAATCAGAAAAAACATAGTAATCTACGAATGTCAGATCAAAATCATGAATTTAATAAACATAGAATTTTAAAAGTTTTCTGACCTTTTTCCTGAGGTGGTCCTGTTCATGAAAGCTGAAAAGAGTTGAGGGAACATAGACAAACGAAGGGGGCTTATTTCTCCCTGGAGGAACTTCCCAAAGACGCAGCTTCATTGGTCTCCTTGGGAGAGTCTCCCAGGTTGGGGTCCCATTTTAAAGTGGTTTTTCTGGTTTCTTGGATGGTGGCCACCAACTTTTAGCCTGACGATGAAAAATCTTTGGACCATTTTTAATAGTTGGGAGTTATTCATGCTTGCAAATACTGAGAGACAAAAGCCAAATTTTTTTAGATAAAATTATGCTTTTTGTTATACAATTTAGGAATMATAATTTTATAAAACACTTTAGTTTTAATCTGTCCTCYAYAGGAACTGACATGATCTACCCAGTTGGCCACCTGGCCCAGTTCCTAAGTGAAGGCAATCTCTAGAATGCCTTTTTCTTTTTACCTTTAGCTTTTACTTTTGACAATCTTTTAGTCCTGTTGGCAGCTCTTTACATYTTAATGCAAGCTGTAGTGAGCACAGTTAAAACCTTCTTAACCATTTTTTTTTTCCATTAGAAACAAACTGGGATAGAAACTAACACAGAACACAAAGGGAACAACAAAAACAGACCAACAGACAAAGTCCTGAAAACTGTTAAGAAAACAAGTTCAAGGGGTCCAGGTAGAGACCTCTGTAGCACTTCCTGTCCATGATGTGGTAGAGCCAAGGAGTCCTGATGAAAGAGAGCGGTTATGAGAACTAGAAAAGGGCCCCGCACAACACACGGACAGACAAACAGGACAAACGGCCAAGGAACAGACACTGGACAAATGACAAACAGCAAGAAGACGCTGGAGAAAAGAMARACAGCAGAACAGACACGGGACAAGCAACAATCGCTGAGGTCRCCCAGGGAGACCTCCAGTGGGGCAGAGGAGATGWTGTCTCATCCTGCCCCCAGATACAGACAGATGAGGTCACACAGGGAGCCCTCCAGGGAGACAGTGACAAAGTCTAGTCCTGTGACATCTCGTCCCGTCCCCGACTTGGTGTAAACAACTGCGTCCAATCTGACCTTGTCCCCAGAGGAGTGGACTCACCAGGTCTGACAGGCCGKCAGGAGGCTTCTCAGAGCGTCCTAGGACGGATTGGGGTCCCCCCTGGAGTGGGGCTGAGGAACGTCTCTCAGGAGCTCCCCTCTACTCCTGGACCGAGATCCAAAGGCCCATGGTTGGAGGCAAATTTGGGGAGAGGATAGGGAAGAAATGGATCCCGGATGAGCCCCCAGATGTTATAGTTAAAGCTTTGTCCCAGGGTTTCATAAACTGACTTCCAGACCACTCACGTATAATCGAATCAAGCCTTTATTGAAGCACACTGGTGGCCGCTGACCAGAACATAAAGCTGTTCCCCTGATCAGCCCCGAACAATTGCAAGGGCAGTCCTTATAAGTCTGAAAACTGCAAAAGGGATGTTCGGGGTCCAGCCAATGCAAGCAAGCCAGGTTACAGAAGCGGGAGAGTGGGGCCAGGTGGCGGGAAGCCTAACCAATCACAGACCAGTCACCCTAGTTACAGAAACAGAGCCCCATTAGGTAGTTTGTGTCCTTAAAGGTTTCTATAGCAAAAGGAAAAGAACGACTTGCCCCAGTCACGACCCTTCTATTGGAGTTACTAAACAAAATGGACTCACTTTGGCTTGACCATCACAAAGGGACTTGCGGGATTATTGGGGAAGCACAGTTGATAATGCAATCGCACAGTTGACTGGGAAGAGGAGTCCGAGCGCTAACTGATCTTCTCTGTTCCACCAAGTTTGCTGTGACCTCCCTGTGCCCTGAAGCCGTCTCCTAGGTCAGCAGCAGCGCCCACTAACCACCAGGCAGTGGATAGGGTGTGGGAGGTTGGTTCGAGGACAGCGCTGAGGGTAGAGCGTGGTTTCCATAGGGCCTCAACAGGGCTGGTTGTAAAAGAGGCTGTTCAGGGGTACAGGCCACTCGGGGCAGTACCAGGTGCCAGATCCCRAGAGACATGCTTAAGTGCTATGTAATAAAGTGTGTGAGTTTGGGGGGAGAGAGTGAGAGGGGAGAGAGTGCACTCAAGGGCCCTCTAAATCTCTGGGTGCTGAGCAGGAGCCCCTTAGTCCAGGTCTAACGGTGGTGCTGCCCCCACACGGAGCTCAGCCTCCTGGCAATCTACAGTCTCATGATGCCACCCATCATCTCGCCCCTGGACCCCTGCAACAGCCTCCCTGCTTCCTCTGCCACCCCGTCCTTCCTCGGCAGGCAGACAGGGCCCTGCAGCAGCCGGGGACCCAGCGCACTCCCCAGCCCGGCTCCRACCCTGCAGGGCTCCTCCAGCCTCTCCCCCAGTCTGACCCCCGACCCCATCCCCCACCACAGGCCACCTGCTCCCCCTGGGTCTCCCCTGCTCAAAGCCRGGGCATTTCCTCTTTTCAAGCCTCAAATTAGAACAAAGCCAAGCCAAAAAACAAACCCACCCAGCAAAGATTAAAAAAAWATATATATATATAGGAAGGAAGGGAGGGAGGGAGGGGAAAACGGGATTTCTGGTTGTGGTGTGGTCAGCCCATGGAGTCACTCCTGGTTAGGGACTTGGCTTGCTTTTGTTCTGTTTGGAAGAGTTTTTTCCAGAATCAACTTTGCTGAATCAGAATCAATCAAACGCACACATTTGTRGTTCAATGAGTTCCACAAACATGCCGATGTGGGGTCAGCTGCGGTGACAATCCGAGCACCCCCACATCAGGAAGTTGTCTGGGGCCCTTCTCAGTCACGGCTTTACCGTAGGCCACAGGGGTGGGCTTTCTCTCAGCGCAGATCGTTTTGCCCCAGAACAGCAGACAGAGCACATAGACACCAGGGCCCGGGGATGTCGGCCGCTCCRTCGGCATCAGGTGGGTGAGATTGGTCCGTTGTTTGGGCACCGGTAGTTGGTTTATTTTCATTGCTTGCAATTCTCTTTTGTAAAAGATGCCACTCTGTCTTCCTGGTGAGGAGCATCTGGATATTTAACTTGGGGCTCCTTGGACACGCGCTGCTATGAACTGTCATGCACAGGACACTGCCCGTGACACACTTTCTTTGTCTTGGGCAGTTCAGCAATTTTAGAAGGCAGTTTTGGTCACTCTGATACTTAACAGCAGAGGGGAAAACACGAAATGCCATCGATGGGAAGAAAGGGCAACATTCAACTAGAATGCAGGAAGGGAATGGAAATCTGTGCATCTTTAAAAATTCCAACTGTGGGGCTGGGGTAGGGCCCAGTCGGTAGAGTGCTGGCCTCGCATGCAAACCTGACTACAAAGTGGAGGGGTGACAAATTACTGGACATATATGAAATGAACAGGAAAACAACTTGGCAGGGACACCGTGACACCGTAACAATGCCTTTGGGGCGTACTGATGTATTTCTATGGATAAGGACTTGGCCTCATGAGGTAGAGATTCAAAGGAGTGAAGGAGTCACTCAGTCCATGATATTTGCAGAGCATGGCCTTGGCCCAGGATTGAGGGGATGGTAGTGAAAGAGGGGGTGCCTGCTTCCGTGGCAGGAAGTAGGGGACCCTGGGGAGATCATTCCCTGCTTTTTGTTTTGGGGGTGGTTGAGCAATGCATTCACTGAAGACGCCACCCAACTTGGTCACCTCTTTTGGAAAAGTCCCTGCCTCTAGTGCTGCGTGGGGGTCCTGCTGAACCTTTGCTCTTCACAGTTGTTACCAGGTGCACTTGGCACTGAATCTGATTGTCCTCGGCCCTCCCCTGAGCGCCTGGTACCCTATGTCCCCAGGAACTCTCTAGCTGCCTCTGGTGTTGGATTGATGGCTGGATCCACCAAGTCACGCAGCTCCGTGGGCTAAGAATTGGGGAGCAGTAGGAGTGCAGTGGCACGCCCTTTCTCCACAGAAAAGTCTTACCTGGGCCTCTCCAGAAATCTCCACCATGGCTGATTTTAGGACTGTCTGCAAAAGAGCTCAATGTAGATAAACTTCCTATTTTCGTGTCACCCTGTTTTACTTGGCCACTGGCCGGGAGAAAATCAGCACTCCAGGTGCTGGACACCCCCTTATTAGTTTTTCACAAACATGTATCCAGTGTAGTAGTTTGTAGAAATGTGTAAACAAGGACTCTGGCCTTGAGCTGGCTTCACAGAGATGTCTACATTTCTGRTAAGAGAAGTTACAATTGGGCTCCATGGTAACAGCTGGCAGGGGGAGGAAAGAAAGGGGAGAAGAAGCTCTCCCCTTCTCAGGTGTTGTCCTTGAAGGGTTAACCTGCCCAGAACAGTGATAGAAAAAGCTGCTTTTATGTGACCTTCTGCAGACTGTGAACTTCTGAGCCCCTTCCCCTATGTGCTGGGTATAAAGTTCTGAAACTACCTGAATTCAGGATTCAGGGGATTGATTGATTACAGCCAAAGCTGTTCCCTCTGAACCTGGCTGCAGCCAAATAAAACTGATTCCTGCTATCTTGGGCGCCTTGCCTCCTCTGTCCCTACAACAGGAGCGACTGCTGAGCGGGTCCCTCTGTTGACATGTGCTCAAACTTTGTTGGATGTCACTCCAGCCCCATGCGCACCTGGGCCTCGACTGAGCCAGGCTGGGGTGAGCTCGGCAGCTGTCCTGGCCTTGGAGGTGGGACTCACAACAGCTTTGGGGATTTCCCAAGCACTGGCAGGATTGGGTCACAGCCAGGAGCTGACCTTTGTGGCTCCAAGAGCCCCTCCCACATTTGTTAAAAAGGTCCCTGCGCCCTCCTGCCCTGAGCTCTGCCAGGTGCCTCCTGCTCTCAGCATGGCGCTGCCCTGGGCCCTTGCAGTCTTGAGCCTCCTGCCACTGCTAGAGGCTCAGAGCCCGGCCTGTGCCAACCTCACGGCCAAGCCCATCACCAACGCCACCCTGGACTGGGTGAGTGCCTGGGCCGGCCTTGCTCCGGGGCCAGAGGCAGCTGCCTCCCTCTCTGGGCCCTTCTTTCTCTACTGGCTGGGGTCAGCCCTTACCTCTGGTGCTGCCCTTTTCTTTCCTGGGTCTGGGATGAGATTCTGACCAGCCTGGGGGACACTGGTCGCCTCCCCCTGCCTCCAAATTCAGGAGCTCCAAGGCGAAGTCCCTCGGCAGGGGAGAGCTCTGTGCTGAGCATGGCGAGGCCCACCAGGGGGAGGACTTGGTGAGCCCAGCAGTCCCCACCGCCCAGGGCTTCAGTCCTTGCAGAATGGAGGGTCACGTCTCCCCGAGGCTGGTTGCTGCCGACCTCCAGAGATTCGGCTCAACCCCTGCGCCTGCCCCCTCCCCAGCTCTCTGGCAGGTGGTTTTACATCGGCTCAGTTTTTCTGGACCCCGCGTTCAAGCAGATGGTTCAGAAGGTCCAGGCCTCCGAATTCTCCTTCACCCCTAACCTGACCCAGGACACGATTCTGTTCCAGCAGTACCTGAGCATGTGAGCCCCGCCCGCCCCACTCCAGAGGCCGGAGGCCTCAAGCCGCCCCTCCCCTCTGGGCCTCGCCTCCCCACGGGAAATGGGACCTCCGGCTCTCCTCTCCAGCAGCCCCTTGCCGAGGCCCTGGGTTGGGGACTGTCCCTTCTTGAGGGCCATCTTGTTTCTCTCCCGCCTTCCACCTGGCTTTAGCGAGGACCACTGCGAATACAACTCCAGTGTCCTGTGGGTCCATCGAGAGAACGCCACCCTCTCCAGATTCGGTGAGGGCCTGTCCTCAGGTGGGAGGGGGTGGAGGGGGTGGTCAGCCTATGGAGGAGGGTGGGACTGAGGCCCCGAGACCTTGGGYACAGAAAACAGAAGGCGGCTCTACCCGCCATGTCCCCCAGGTCTGGTGCCTGGGCGCTGCAGTGAACACAGGCACTGTTTAGATGTGTTATGAAGTGAGYCAGTTTCCTGCCCACGAGTAACCCCAGGAGGGCATTTGAAGGGATCAGATGAGGAAACAGGAGAACAGAAACATCAAGGACTTTTCCTGAGATCACACAGCTTGTAATTAGAATTGGAATCCCAGTCTGGCTCCAGACCTCCTCTCTCTTAAGCACCTTCTGAAAGTCTCTGGAAGCTCAGGTGGAAGCCTGCACGTCCCCACGACCACCAGAGATGCCACAGAGGAAGGGCACAGAGTGCTGTTGGGACACAGCTGGCACCACTTAGCAGCCCCAAGCCCCTCTCTGGCCTCGTGTCCCTCATCGGTGACAAAGGGACAGACTCCGGAAGCCCTGGCCTATGTGGGGCTCCCATCTGGCTGCGTCTGAGAGACCGTCTCACCTGGGCCCTTTGTCCTGCAGACGGGGGCAAAAAGATCGATGCCCAGCTTCTCCTCCAGGACTTCAACAGCACCTACCTACTGGCCTTCTCGATGGACGACGAGACCAAGAGGGGCCTGTCCTTCTACGGTGGGCCCCCCGCAGCCCCAGAGCCCCCCGCCCCAGCCTCTCCCTCGGTGCCCATCCCAGAACCCCAGCCCCGCCTGGCCTCCCGCCTGGCCTCCCGCCTGGCCTCCCGCCGCCCCGAGCTCCTCACCCAGGCCCTCACCCAGCCTGCCTGTTGCTCCCCGCAGCCGACAAGCCCGAGGCCACCCCTGAGCAGCTGGAACGGTTCCGTGAGGCGCTGGAGTGCAAGGGCATGGACAAGTCGGAGATCATGTACACCGACTGGAAGAAGGTGAATATGGGGGACCCCGGGCAACCCCAGAGGTCCAGAGAGGGAAAGCTGCCCACCAAGGTTGCACAGCCAAGCAGATCCCCTGCTTTTAAGAACCTGCCCTCAAGCTGAGGCAGCTGAGATTCAGAGACTAGTGGGTGTGAGATGAGAGCCCGGGGGTCACCATCCCTGCAAGCCAGCTGGACACTGGAGCCGAGAGGAGGACTTGAAAGGCCAGTKGGAGAGGATGGCCGCACCCTGGGGTGGTAGGTCCAGGAAAGACGCACAGCGGAGAGGAGGAGACGAGGAGCACCTCCCACACCCCAGGCTTGGCCTGCSCCCCATTTCTACCACCCAGCCCATGGGGAATGGGGGTCATGGTTTTCAGTGAGGCCCCYGAATGGCACCCAGCCCCGGGCTGCGGTCTGGAGTTTTGTTGTACACGAGGGTGGGCTGCCCGACGGCGCCGCAGCCCCTGACTCCAACCTGCGTTAATTGAAAGGCGTCACTTACCATCCACAAAATCACCAAGCCCATGAGCCAGTGACCCGTGACCTGACAGACCCGGGAGATTTCCATGACCACGACAATAAAACCTCGCTGTCCATCTTCCACCTGAGACCCTTCCTCCCCTGACCGYCAGTACTGGGTCCCGGGGTTTCACAGACCCACCACATGAGCTGCCCCTCCTGCCCCACAGCCTGCCCCTCCCCTCCCCTGGCCAGGGGACTCCACTGGGCATCTGGCCACCCCAGCCTCAGTAGCTGCATCGGCGGCAAAACAGCGGTGCCCACAGTCCTGAGCAGACCAGCTGCCGCAGCTGGGGCCCCACTCTCGGGCCAGCAAGCTGGGGCGCAGGGGCAGGGCCAGCCCCAGGGCCTCTGCTGGGGAGCCATGGAGCGGGGCTGGTGCCACAGCCCCAGGAGGCCTTGCACCCCGTCACTCTCGGCCCTCCCTGCCCTCTCCCAGAACCAGTGTGAGCCGCTGCGGAGGCAGCACGAGCTGGAGAGGAAGAAGGAGCCAGAGGGCAGCCCCGGGCMGCCTGCTGGGGGTCACAGCTCAGAGCCCCCGGCACCGTGACCACCCCACACCAGCCTCCTCGGTCACAGTCCTCTGCCTCAGTAAAGTTTCTGCTTGGGACAGTTTGCTGGTCACCTGCGCGTTCTTTCATGCCCACTCATTTCTTGGTGGGAAAGTCTGCCCCGAGTGGGGCCTGGCTGAGCCCCGGCCTGGCGGGAGGAGCCCGGTGGACGTCACTAGGCCTGGTGCTCTAGGAGCCCGGCTCAAGGAGGGCTCCTCTGCAGGGGGACAGGCTTCCTAGGAGGGGTATCTGCGCTCATCTAGGAGGATGGGAAGCTGCAAGCCCAAAGGGACACATTTCAGGAACCAGAGACAGAGGATGAGGACGACAGGAGGTGGACAAGGGGTGGAAGGACCCTGGCCATCCAGGGAGATGAGCTGGGCAGGGCCAGGCTGGAGGCAGGAAGGCCCGAGCAGAGGCCACAGAGGGCATCCTGGCAAGAGGCAGCACCTGGGCCGGGCAGGGTGGGTGACGGGAGGACTCGGGCCTCAGCCAAAGGGGCTGGTGTCTCCTTGGAAGTGTCCTTGGAGTGCCCCAAAGAAGACAATGACACCTGGAGATGAAGGTACTCCCCAGAAGCCAGCTCACATCTCTGTGGAGACTTAGGTCAGGGCCGTGCCCAGGTACAGACAGAGCGAGCACCTGGGGTCAGGAGTCCTGCAAGAAGCCACCAGGAAGTCACGATGGGTGGCCTCTTGGATGTGAGGGCGGCAGACCTCTCGGTTGGCAGAAGGTCGGGGCTGGATTTTTAAACCATCTACGCACACAGCTGCCCATGCCTTCCCGAGGGGCAGCTCGGGATGCCCATGCCCAGCGCTGCCCCCAGCCTCCTAAGACAACACCCTTGCTGTCCCTCTTCCCAGAAGCCATGGCAATAGCATCCCTTGTCAACAGCTGGACACTGCTGGCCCATGGCACTGAGACTGGGGATGCTGCCCTGGGTCCCCAGCTTAGGCCCCCCCCCCCATCCTGATGTCCCCAGAACATGGCAGAAGAAATGGCGTCTGGCACGCCGAAAGGCGAGATCTGGAGGCTCAGAACCAATAGGAAAGGTGTCCAGCTCAGGGTCACTCTCAGGGACAGGCCTTTTTCAACACGCCAAGGATCTGCTCAAACCTGAATGAGACCTTGGTGCTGGCGGGCAGGGAGGGGAGACTAAGAGGTGGGGCAGGCCGAAGGAATGTCACTGCCCATTATGTCACAGGGGCTCAGAAGACAGCAATGGTTTTACTACTAAAAAGAGCACTGGAAGGAGAGTCCAGACTCAGGCTTTTGCTGTGTGTATCTCATAACCTCTCTGGGCTTAGTGTCAAGAGGCTTGGCCTCACAGCCAAGGTTTATGGCTTATGGTTCCAAGACAAGTGGGGACAAGCTGCAGGAACAGAAGCCCGCAAGAGGAGGCAGAGTCAGAAAACTCTCACTCAACAGGTCCCCTGGGGGAGGGACTGGCTGGGTGTCAAGTCTTCCCTCAGCCACACGCTTGACTTTAGAAATCACGGATCCGTGACAGACACCACAGACGCAGGCCATTTTGGGAATGTGGGCGGTTCTTTTTTGGTTGTCCTTTCTATTTTTTTAGATCATTATTCATTCTTCTTCATTTACTCTTGTAACGAAAATAGACTTTTAAATGCCTCAAATATACAAACATCTGCCGCGCACACACATTCCAGAACCCGAGGGCACTGCTGCAGGGCGGGAGCCGACAGCCCGGCTGCAGGGCCCCAGCTGGGGCCTGGCAGGGAGCTGGTCACCAGTCCAATGCCACTGAGATCCTAGGAAGGGCCCAGGCCTGGGGCGAGGTGCAGAGAGCCACTGGCGGGTGGCTTCCCAGGGCTCTGGGAGGTGTCCTCAGCCCAGCAGGCCTGGGGGAGAGGCCTCTGCAGCCCAGCAAGGAGCTCAGATGCCTCAGAGTCCACAAATGCCCCACTGCCCAGTCGCCAGGARCAAGGCCTCAGACAAGGCCCTTCCCAGAGGTGGCTGGTCACAGGCAGGGGACAGCTCTGCTCCAGACAGCCTGGCCTTTCCCAACGTATCTGGCCTTGTAAGGAGGCCAAGACCAGGGTGACTCCCAGGATGAAGAGCGCCTGGCCATCTGGACATAAGACACATGTTATTAGCTGGAGGTGGACAGAGCAGGGGAGGAGAGTCCCAGGGCTCTGTGTGGGTACAGTGGCCTTGCTTGCAGCACCTGTGGACGGGGCTGGTCCCCGGGGAAGCTACTCCGCCTCCCAGGCTGACGCTGCTCCATCTGAAGGTACCGGGCAGGGCAGGTCCTTGTCCCCTGAGGAGGGGCCGCAGGGCTTCCTGGGCATCAGTGGCTCCTGCCTGCCCTTTGCCCCGGCTCCTCCCCATCTCAGAGCCTCTAGGGAATCAGAAGAGGCAGGAGTCCCGCAGGCCGTGGGCCTGGCGCAGGTCGGCCGACAGCGAGCGGGTCATCCTCCGGGTGGTGGAGCGCACGTCCTCCGCAGCCTGCACCGCCTGGTTCAGGGCCGAGTGCAGCTCCTCCAGGTCATCGGGGTCCAGCTGGATGGAGTGCCGGTGTCCCCGCAAGGAGGCTGTGGGGACTGAGGTAGGCGCTGTGGGTGCGAAGTACCTGGGGAGGGAGGGGGCGCTCATTAGCACAGGCAGCTGGGGAGGCCCGCAGCCCGGGTCTTGGCACCGACCCCTTCCACACCCCTCCATGCTCGGCACACCCATGAGGAGGGCTGAGGCAGGAAAGATGCACAGCCCAGTGCTGGCAGGAACTGCGGCCAGGGGACCCTCCCGCGCTGCTGGGGGAAGGGGACCGGTGCCTTGGTCCTCTCCTCCCACAATTCAACAACCTGCAGAGCTGGGCTGGCCAGTCAGCACCGTCACCTCAGGAGCAGTGAAGCTCGGGAGTTAGTGAATGAGGGGACAGTGTCACACACCTCAGCAGAGGCCAGTGGAACCGGCCTGCCCCAAACCCTGGTCCTTCTGCTCGGCCGGCTGCAGGGCCCAGGAACCTCCCCACTCAAGGCCTCTGATTTCCCCCTCAAATGGCCACAGTGAGCTGACGGGAGAAGTCAAGTAAGGAGCTCGCAATGCCAGGCCAGGGAAGTGCTCTGTCACGGTCAGGTCCCGAGGCCCGGGGCAGGCTGGAAAGGGCAGGCTGGAGTCGCCCCAGACCTGATGTCGAGCATCTGGAGCTTGAGCTACTTAGGGAGCAGCCCCTGCTGATGAGCGGCTCTGGCCTAAGCATGGATGGCAGCCCGCACTCCTGCCTCTGGGGAGCTCCCCGCACCCCACCTTCTGCTTACTGGATGACCAGGTTGCCAGAGAATTCCCCCAAGACCCTCTAGGGCAGAAGCCCCTGCAAATCCTCTGGGTGCAAAGCTCTGCAGTGGGATGTGGGGCGGCGGCCAGCAGGTGGCAGCACAGGACAAGAACGTTCTAAATTGCACCAGGCACCACTGAGCACGCCCAGTCCTGCTGCCCTGTTCCCTGTGCATCAAGAGCAYTGTGTTGCTGGCCACCTCGGCTACCCCGGGCTTTCTGGGCATTCCTTCAGCTGATCCTTGCCACAAGCCATCTCACACAGGAGGAAACGGAGGCACAGGGGCCTACCAAGTTCCTTGGCTACCGCTGCCCCCCAGCTGCTCTCCTCCCCACCATGGCCCACCCAGGCTGGAGATGCTGCCTGTCTGGCTAGTTTTCCCCAAAGGCCTGAGCTGGAAGGTGGTRGCCTTAGGAGCAGTAAGGAGACCCAGGGCTGCCCAGGGGGCCACAGTTCCAGGCAGAGCCTTTACTGCCATCAAGTAGGAACCCAGCAGGGGTTTGCAGCCCTGTGCCAGGTCCCGGGCAGGCAGAAGGATGCAGCCAGGCRAGGCTCCTATGGGCCTGCCCAGGCTCGGCAAGATGCCCAAGCACAGGCCGGCCTCCTTGGGGAGGCCCATGGTGGACGGCACTTGGGTGTCTGCTCCCGCCAAGCGGCAGCCCACAGCGTGACTCTGCCCTCGCTGCCCAGAGCATGGCCACTGAATGCTGGCTGGCTTGTTTCACTATGGGGGAAACTGAGGCAGAGATCTAGCTGACAACAGTTGGGTYGAGAAGACAGGTCTCCTAATTCCAGGGCCCAGGCTTCCTTCCCTCCACAATCCTGCAGGAAAGCTGCTGAGCTCATTTTCCTTCTAACTAATGACAATATCGAGCAACAGCAATGTTGACTGGAAGGACAAAGCTCCTGTTTACTCAGTGATGAGCTTGTGCCAGCACCCAGGGTGACTCCACTGACACCCCACTTGTCCCCACACAGTGCACATGGCAGAGACCACTCCCCACGGACAAATGGCAAAACCGAGGCTCAGAGGAGGCAGCTTTGCCCTGGCTACGGGGCGAATGTGGGAGAGGGGACTCCAGAGCAGCTCTGCCTGGCTCCGAAGCCGGCCCCACTGCACAGCTGCTCTGCCATCTCGGTGGCCTGTCCTCCAGCACCTGGCAGGAGCACCTCCCGGTCACCCAGAAACAAGGTGGGTCTGGGAAGCTGCCAGAGCTGCGGAGCTGAGGGGATGACAGGGAGAGGCAGGGACCTCCTGGAGGCCACCCAGAAGACAAGCCAGCGGCACTGAAGACATCGCGGACTTTGGTCAACCGTCAATGCTCACGTTGGCTGGTGACAAATGTGCCATGCTCACTCAAGATGTCAGAACAGGGGTTGTGGGACCTCTCTGTTCTATCTACTCAACTCCCCTAAATCCAAACTGCTCTAAAACAGGAGTCAATTGAAAAAACAAGGGCGTCCTCATGCCTTGCTTGGCCACAAGGAAATGGCCAAGTCCTGGAGTATAATCAGGGGACATTAGGAGGTTCCGGGGGGCAGCCTCCTTCCTTGCTGGGTCCCCAGGGCCGAGCACTCTCCTACCCAGCAAGCTCTTGGGGTTTGCTGAGTGACTATAGGAGTGCCAGGTGTGGCAGCAGGTGGCYACTTGGGACGGTCCCCAGGAGAGCCGAGCCTGCTGCTCAGCCCCCACATCGGGGGCTTCTTCAGTGACTGAGACCGAGGCTGGAAAAGTTGGGGTGGCGGAGTTGGGGGTTCTTACACAGTGGCTGGCGGATAAGGCATGATGGGTATCGAGGGGACGTAGGTGAAGGCCGGGGGTCCCGGTGCTGAGGGCGCAGCTGCCAGGTACCACAGTCCAGGGGGCGGCCGTGCGGGCGAGGGGACCCGCTGGCTCCTCTGCTTGGGGCTGGAAGCCACAGGTACATTTTTCCTTGCGGTGGCCTTTTCTGCCCCTGTGGGAAAACACCAGGACACAGCTGGCCACCCGGCGTCCTCAGCTGAGGATGGCGGTCTGCACGGCCCTCCCTGACCCCAGGCAGGGCCTCCCCTGGGAACAGCTCATGGGGTCCCATTCACGCCACCCCCTAAACTCAYCCCCGGCCCCCAGGGTAAGCAGAGCTGGGGTCTGGCCACGAGCAGGTTCTGAGCACTTGTCCCTACCAGAGCCAGGGCCATCTCCCTCTGGGGGGGACTCGACGTGGCCACACAAGGGACATCGGAGGGCCTCAGTGGCAGACAGTCCCTGCAGCTCCCTGGTGGCAGTGGTTTCTGGAAAAGGACAGGAAAGGATCCTGTCTAGATCATCAGACCCAGAGCTCCCCCCACAGGCCTCCAAAGCACCGAGCTGCTGTCAGGAGCCACCACAGAGAGACCCGGCAGGATGGTAGCAGTGCACCCTGCCGGGCCAGGCACTGGCGGTGGCCGTCCTGCAGCCCCAGCCCCACCCATAGGCTCCGGCTCTTCCTGTTCACTCCCCAGATCTCAGAGCTGGGAACCAACACTCATCTGACCCCKGGCCTGGGCTCTCCTACGTCTGTCCCCTGCATGGGAGTGGCCAGTCTGGGCCTACAGGGACAGGGTCAGCAGAGACCCGTGGGGCAGGAGGCAAGGGCATGGGCGCTGCTTCCCTTGCAAATCCCCAACTCGGCATCTAGTGGGTTCCAGGGCCGCCTGCCTCTCCCCAGGCTCAGCCTGGCCCGAACACCCTCTGGGGAACCCCTGTGCCCAGCAAGTGCTGCCCCAGCCCCATCCCAGCTCTGCTACTGGCTGCTTGGGACAGGGCCCAAGGCTGGCAGGAGTAGCTGCCCAGTAAATGAAGGAAGGAATGGAGGGCAGGTCAGGGCCCTCAAGTCATAAAGTCCTGCCATGAAGTCTTTGCTACTTGTAAGCTGTGTGCCCCTGGGCGAGTTGCACCATCTCTTTGAGCCTATTTCAGGAGGTTCAAAATGGACATAATGCAACACTTCACTGAACTGTGAGGAAGGACACAGACTGTGCACGAGAGAGMACAGAGGGCTGCGCAGATGGCAACTCCATCGCCACCAGCGTCCCTGCTTGAAAAGCCTCAGAGACCATCTCTTTACCCTCTCCTTTAGGACATGGAACCTGAGGATCAGGAAAGTCAAGGACCTGGCCTAAGGCCCCACAGCAAGCTAGTGGCAGAACTGGGACCAGAACCTGACGCTTGGATTCTCAGGCCRCCACCTTCCCCATCCCCTGTAGCTGCTGTGTTTGGGGAAGGGGGAGGGGTGGAGACAGGAGGGGGAACTACTGCTGCCAGCCGGTCGGCAGCCATGCCTGTCCCTCAGGACTTTTCAGGGACTTTTAAAGTCCCAGAAGGTGGCTTMAGACAGTGGCTCCAGGAGCAACAGGGTGGTGGCAGGTACCTGGCAAGGCTGAGAAGCCCAGGAAAGTCCCATCCTTGCCTGTGCCCACCACCCTCCAACTGCTGGGCTCAGGGCAGGCCYACAGGGCCAGCCACAATGGCTCCCAACAGCAAGAGGCTGCAGGGTGGCCACCCCAGGTCCCATCCCTTACCTGTGTCCTGTGATCTGATGGGCTGACTGTGGGGACAGGAGGCTGAGTCACTGCTTCTTGGGGCAGTCTTGGGGGACAGAAGGTGGTACTCCTGGCCTGCGGAAGAAACAGGACAGTTGACATCAGCCCGGGTGGGGGGTGCAGAACCGGGAGGAGCCCCCTCGGGGACTTCACCCCTTCCTCCCAGTGGCTTAACAGTTGCCCCATGTACAGGAGTGAGCACACGAGTGTGTAAGACTCATTAAGTGTGTGGGGTGAGCTCTCCTGACTCCTTGCTTCTAGGAGTGGCCGCCTGGCTGTCCCCACATGGAGTTATCAGCACCCCAGGCTGGGCTGGGTCTGAGACGACACTGCTCCCCAGGGGAACCCTGCTGGTTTGGCCCTCAGTGGCCTAGGCAATTCTCCCTTGTGCTCTGATTGGTTGTGAGAGGGGACAGTCAGGGGGTGGTTTCCTGGCTTGCTGGGAGGACCAAATGGGCAGTATCTGTGAGGTCTCCACCCAGTACTGGCAGAGGAAAAGCTCTCAATGCCTCTAGAATCCTGGGCAGGCTCTCAGATCCACACCACCCTTTGTTGTGTGGGTCCCCGAGTCTCAAGGACAGCCCTTCTGTGGGCCTGAAGCCCTGTGAGGGGCATGGGGACTGCTTGCTCTCTGACGGCTCCTGGTAAGTCTCCAAGGGCAGGGGAGGCCATTCCTGCCTCCTTCCAGCACAACAGGGAGCAGAGGGCGGTGCCCCTGCTGCCACAGCTCACTGTGACGGCTGGCCGGTGCCTCTGCTGGGCAGCCACGCTCATGCAGATGGGAGCACGTGMATTTTCTAAATGTCAAGCACTCTGAAGTGCTACTAGGTGTCACCTGAGCCAGGTGCCCAGTTCACGAGAAGCAGAGGCCCCTTGCAATCAGAGGGCAAACCAGACGCCCTTCAGTGCTCATGCAACAAGTGAGGTGGCAAAGGAGATCATAGACCTCTTTATCATTGGCTGGCTGAGCTGAAAGGGCACCCCAGAACCAAGCACGGGCTCCATAAAAGGGGGGCCTGGGAAAGGTTTGCTCAAGGAATGAATGAATGAACAGATCCCTATGTCAGGGAGGCCACGCCCCTGATGCTCCTCCTATCAAAAAACAGCAGAGGCCACGCCCCTGGTGCTCCTCCTATCAGAACAGAGCAGAGGCCAGCCCCTGGTGCTCCTCCTGTCAGAACACAGCAGAGGCCACGCCCCTGGTGCTCCTCCTATCAGAACACAGCAGAGGCCAGGCCCCTGGTGCTCCTCCTATCAGAACACAGCAGAGGCCACGC